TCCTGGGGGCCAGGCTGCTTTGGGCAGCAGATGGCCGGTGTTGGCGTGGCCACGTTCTTGTGGTCTCGAGAGCCTCGGGCTTCTCGCAGCTAAGGCTTGCCTGAACGCTAGCACCTGGGCCTGGGCCTGGGGGTTGGCCCTGCTTTCTGAATGCTCTGCCCCTCGGCTTGCAGCCTGTGGTCCTGCAGGCAGCTGGTGGGGCGAGTGGAAGGGAGTCAGAAGGGAGGAGTCGGGTCCCATCCAGGTGGACCTGTGCCAGGCCTGCAGCTCGGGCCATCCAGGTCTTGTGGTCACATGGCTGGATGCCGAGGTTCACAGGGCTCGTCAGCCCTCCAGAGGAATTGTTTTATTACAAAGGACTTTCTTCACTTGTGAAGAATTTTAACTCTTGTGTATGTGTGTCAAAATGCAAAAATAGGAGCAAACTCACTCAAAAAGTTCACTGCCCTCCCGTGCACCCTGGCTCATGGCGGGTGACCCTGTCCCTGGGGCTCCCTGAGATGGTGACTCTACGGGAGTGGAAAGGCCTGTCCCCCCTGTGGAGGGGCTGCTGACCTGGGTCCAGGCTAGCAGCCGCGGGTACCCAAGGCACCACCAGGGCTCCGGACCTGCGTGCACAGCTGAGCGTACATCCTAAGACACTGTGTTAAGGGGTTTGCTTCGCGGAACTCGGCCTCCTTTGCTGAGTCCTTACTCCTCTCTGAGCAGGAACATAACCACACTGCATGTGTCTCCCCCCCTGTCTAGTTCTTTGTGAATCTCTTTTTGTTTCTTTCTAATTAGCCTAAAGGCAGGGTGGAGGGGGAGTGGGTGGGCACTAGGGCTAGAAGTACTTGTCACATGACCAGCGTCCTGTATGTGGTGTGGACACACCCGAACCCTTTGGGCCTCTAGCTTGGCCTTGGCCTGCCCTGCCCTTCCACTTGATCAGGGGAGGAAGATGGGCTATCGTTGGCCAAGTCGGCTCCAGCCTGTTCTCCTCGCGCACAGCGTGGCCTCGTGCGGTGCAAGCAGCCCAGCAGGGCAGATGCTCGGCCAGCCCCACTAGCTGCTTCCTGCTCCCGGCCCCCTGCCCCCCGAGACAAGGAGCTGATGGTCCGTTTAGTGCCATATGACGATCCCCCACCCCCTCATCTTGAAACAGCTTACAACATTGCACACAGCATGTGCTGCTGTGGCTCCTGTTTGTCTTGTCAGCTTTTGTTTTCGTTTTGTACAGAGCAAATTCACTTTCCGCTCAACCGTTTGTCTTGTGACCTCGATGACAGTGCCCTCCCCGTCAGGCGCTCGTGTGCGCCCATCCGTCCTTCTTCCCTGTGCCTCCCTGCCCTCCGAGCTCTGCCTGTGGGCAGACTCCGCTCTCTGGGCTGGCTGGCAGGGCCGGCTGTTTGGGTATCATCCAGGCCAGCCGGGTGGGGCTGGGGGGAATCACCGGGCTGTCTGAGGGCGACAGAGGGCTGGAGGGACTCCAGGGGAGTAGCCGTGCTCAGTGGGACAGCTTGCTGTGATTTCAGGGAGTGACTGGGATTGGAGATGTAAAGAGCTTGTCGGGAATTCCTGTGGTCTCCATGGGCCCAGGAAGTCTGCATTTTCTGAGCATTTGGGCAGGGATTGTCGGCCCGGTCTGAACGTTCCAAGGTGGGGTCTCAGGGCGGGGAAGGTGTGGTTCACGGGACAGGTGGTCCTGTCGTCTGGTTACTTCTCGGAACCCTGGGTTTCTGTTGCTCTCCATCGTCTAGAGCAGCGGTTCTCCACCTTCCTCATGCCGCAGCCCTTTCATGCAGTTCCTCCTGTGGTGGTGACCCCCAACCACAACATTATTCTCGTTGCTACTTCATCACTGTCATTTTGTTACTGTTGTGAATCGGGCGACCCCGTGAAAGGGTCGTTCCACCCCCAAAGGGGTCTCGCCCCACAGATTGAGAACTGCTGCTCTAGAGTCTAGACTGTTGTTGTCAGGTGCCGATGGTGACGGAGTTGGCCCTGACCCATAGTGACCCCACACACAGCAGAAGGGAACACAATCGTTGCCCTGCCCGAGCCCGTCACTGCAGCCCCGTGTCCGTCCGTCCGTCTCCCCGAGGGCCTCCCTCTTTTCCATTCCGAGCAGGTGCCCCTCTGCAGGGACTGCTCTCTCCTGACAACGTGACATGAAGTCTCGCATGCCGGCTCTAAGGAGCCCTCTGGCCATGCTTCTTCCAGGACAGGAGCCCAGTAGTCGTGTCTTTGATGGCTACTTGCAAGCTTTCAAAACCCCGCCACTACTCAACCGCGGTAGCCTGAAGAGCGTATACTCTGAATTACGTCTTGCCAGCGGACAGACTCTTCAGGCTTCATTCAAACCAGCACCACCAGTCCTGGGACAGGGATTGGTTCTATCTAAAATATATCCATCTCTGTGGCTCCTGTCTGCTTTTGAAAATGTAGCTGTCAGGACTCACAGGGACCCCACGGACTCCAGCGCCCTGCCTAAAGCTAGGTGTCCCGCTCGTGCTGCGGCGAGGGGGAAGACTTTCCGCCTGCCGGTGCTGCTAATTCCCAGGCTGCAGGAAGCCGGAACCGGGTCCAAGGTGTTCTTCTGCGATGGCTGCAGCTGCGCACGCACGCCCACCTGGGCGGGCCCGAGGGAGGGCCAGGCACCCGCAGGTGGAGGCGGTGGTGGGCAGACTGTTTCCGATGGAGCTGGGTGGAGGGTGGTGTCTGGTGCTGAGGACCTGGGATTCAAGGCCAGGCTTCTTGCTGGGGCGAGCTGACACGGGGTGGCCTGCTGGGCCTCAGCCCTCACCCCCACCTCCCGTCCTCCCGAAGAGACGACTATGGGACCACTGGGAGCTGTCTGCAGTTCTGGGAGGGGGCAGCGGGGTGGGGTCAGGTCTGAGGGTGCTGGCAGTGGTGGCCTCTGACCACAGAGTTCAGGCCGCTGGGGACGGGGTGTTAAGGTGACTGGAGGCCAGGACAGCGTCTTGTGACAGGCCCTGGCTCTCTGTGTGTGTGCGCGCCTTAGGGACAGAGCTCAAAAGGTCTGCAGTGCACACCTGTCGGGGGCCAAGAAAGGCAGCAGGGGCGGGGTGGGGCCTAAGGAGTTGGGGAGAGATGGGACACGAAGTCTCTGATAGGACCCCGGGGCTGAGCAGCAGGACAGGAGGGAGCTTGTCCCTAATACCACCTTACCTGCATAGGTCCGCACAGGGCCAGCATGCTGTGGAGGGAGGGACAAGGGCGTGGTGGTTAAATGGCCATGGCCTGGCTCGCCTGGGTGGGTTTCTCCGGGCCTCTCCAGGAGGTCAGTGGGGCTGGGGGTGGGGGTGGGGGCTGGCAGGGCCTTGGTGGTCCTGGCCAGGGTGGAGGCCCTGACAGGGTCCGTCGGCATGCGGTTTCTATCTCAGACCGAGGCTGCCAGCCTGTCGTGTGACCCCCCTCCCCCGGGACAATGCCAGCAGCCCCTCCCTCTCTTGCAGACGTTAAAGAATTCCAAGAGCCTCTGTTCCCTGGACTACGAGGACGACGAGGAGGATGAGGCCCACGTGAAGACAGTAGTGTCCTCCCCGCGCGACGCACACGGCCTCACGAGCGCCGTCTCGCCGGCCCCCAGCCCCGCCCGCCCCCGCCCTTGGACCCCGAGGGAGCACGAGGGCCCTGGGGCCGCCAGCGATGGAGACAGCGCTGGGGAGGAGGAGGGGGGCGTCTTCCCCCTGGACTGTGGGGACCTGGACCTGGAGCAGATCGAGAATAACTGAGGGCCGCTGGGCGGGGCCCCCCAGGAGGAACTTGCGGCCCTGCCCACCACGGTTTGAACATTAAGGCCTCCTTTTGATTAAAAATTCCCTAAAGAAATATTTTGCATTTTTATGGCTTTTACAGTTCTGGAGAAAGCGTCTCTATTTTGGAATGAATTTTCAGAAGGGCATTCTATTAAACTCACGTCTGCAAATCCACTGTGTGGTGTGTGTCCTTGTGTGAGGGCCCGGGAAGGCGGCCCCCTCCCCCCCCATGGGGGGAGGTGGGGGCCCGCAGTCATGACCACCTGGTGGTCTGGTGTCCAGTGTAATGGCTTCCAGCGGGGCAGGGGGCAGCCAGGGCAGAGGTGGCACAAGCAGCCTGTGGTTCATACCCTCCCTCCACCTCTCTCCTCCCCGTTGGTACCACAGAAAGAAGACCTGGCAGACGTCGGCTCTGTCTGCACCTGTCGAGGCACGAGGCCTGTGTGATTGGAGAAACAGAACCAGTGACCCACACGGGCGTATAAGAAAGGACATTCTGTTTAGAATCAGCCCAGCCCAGTCCAGCGCAAGCCCATGGGGCCGAGGCTAGCTGGGGCCGCTCTCCAGACTCTCGCAGCGCAGGCCGATGATGCAGAATGCAGGGAGGTCGCAGGCCGCAGGGGGCAGCGTGGTGCGGACCCATGGCAGGGCCGCTCACAGCCCTCCAGCTCCGCAGCACCACGTGGGCCACTCCTGGAGGTGGACACGGAGGCCCAGCCAGGATGAAGGCCAAGGGCAAGAGAGGAGGGAGATGTTCCCACCACCTCTGTTAAAGGCCACACCCCAAGGAGGCGTCACCAGGCTGGGACCTGATTGATGGGTTGGACTCTGCCTTACACACAGGTGCATGTTGACATAAAACCCAAACCATCACTACCACAATGGGTTGCTTTAACAAACCCGAGTTTAATCTCATAGTTTAGGAGGCTGGAAGTCTGATTTCAGGACATCAGTTCTAGGGGAAGGCTCTGTGTGTGTGTGTGTGTGTGTGTGTGTGTGTGTGTGTGTGTGTGTGTTGGCTCTCAGTTTAGCAGGAAGGCCCTTGTCTCCTTTCGGCATCTATGGGCCCTGAGTCCCTTGGAGATGTATCTTGGCAACAATCTCCCCTGGGTCTAGGCGGTTCCCAGCACAGGGACCCCAGGTCCAAAGGCCACGCTCTGGGTGGTAGTAGATCCCTCCCCTGCGCTCTTCTCTCTGATCTGTAAGGTGAGATCAGGGCTGTGGCAGGCACTGTATCCCACCCTTAACCCCTTCATCACTTCATGTGGCACCGTGATGTCCGTCACTGCCACATGACCGCGTCACATCACTGCCAAACAGAAGGGTGGCCCGGCCAATAACTGGATTGGGGCGGTGGGGGAGGGTACAATTCACTCTGGGATAACTACCTGCTCGCTGGTTGGTGCCCCTGCAGTTTTGTGGCACGTGCCTGCGGGTGTGGGGGGCCTCCAGTCAGCCGGGTCTGGGCTAACACTGGCAGCCTGGACGTCCCGTTAAGATGCAGGCCTTTCTAGCAGAGGTGTTTATTTGCGAGCAGCTGAGGGACTGTGGGTAAGAGGAGTGTCTGGGCGGGAAGCAGGACGCAGCCGCAGAGAAGATGCCGTTTCTTGATGTTTAAAAAATACCGTTTTTCGGATCACTGAAGACAAATGGGTGCATAAGCAAATGTGGCGAAGAAAGCTGATGGTGCCCGGCTATCAAAAAGTATAGCGTCTGGGGTCTTAAAGGCTTGAAGGTAATCAAGCGGCCATCAAGCTCAGAAGCAACAAAGCCCACATGGAAGAAGCACACCAGCCTATGCAACCACGAGGTTTCGAAGGGATCAGGTGTAAGGCATCATCAGAACAAAAAATCTTACCATAGTGAATGATGGGGGCAGTGCGGAGTGGAGATCCAAAGCCCATTAGTAGGCCACTGGAGATCCCCTTGCAGAGGGGTCTCGGGGAGGAGATGAGCCAGTCAGGGTGCGATGTAACAATGATGAGAAATACAACTTTCCTCTAGTTCCTAAATGTTTCCTCCCCGCTCCCACTACCATGACTCGAATTTGATCTTGCAAGTCTGGCTAGACCAGAGGAGGTACACTGGTACAGATAGGAACTGAAAATACAGGGAATCCAGGACGGATGAGCCCTATAGGACCAGTGGTGTGAGTGGCAAAACAGGGAGGGTAAAGGGAGAATGGGTAGGAAAGAGGGAACCGATTACATGGAACTGTGTGTGACCTCCTCCCTGGGGGACAGACAACCGAAAAGTGGATGAAGGGAGACGTCGGACAGGGCAAGATATGACAAAATACCCATTTATAAACTATCAAGGGCTCATGCGGGAGGGGGGTGCGGGGAGGGAGGGGAAAAATGAGGACCTAATGTCGGGGGTTTAAATGGAGAGAAAATGTTTTGAGAAACGATGTACAAATGCGCTTTACACAATTGATGTGTGTAGGATTGGGATAACAGTTGTATGAGCCCCTAATAAAATGTTAAAAAAAAAAATACCGTTTTTTTTTTTTTTTACCCCTGAGAATCAGTGGGAGGTCATCATCAGGACTCTCAGTCAGAGGTGGGTAGCGATTTTATTTTTGCTTCCGGAGGGAAGCCCAGGCACCCCGATTCCTGGAGCCATCTCAAATCCCTTCCTTTTAAGGGGTGGGGTGGTTTAGGGTCCTGCTTCCTACCTGTGTGTTCCCCCGAACCCACCCCATCCCCTCTGTCCTCTGCCCGGGCTGCTCAAGACCACCATGATGTGGCTGCCCTGCAGACGGCACCCCACACAAGCTGGCATGCCCAGAGCATTCCCCACAGGTACATGCACTGCACGTACACAGCACAGACGTGTACACATGTCCACAAACACGTGTACACACAGGGGCACACATGGGTATGCAAAAGCCAGCATGCTCAGGGTGTTCCACACAGGTGCACACACCAGGCACAGAGGTATACATGTTTATGCATATCCACAATCACATGTGGGCACACGTACGCAAGTCGGCATTCACAGGCATGTGTGTTGTACATGCACCTCCATGCATTCCAAGTGGTAACACATAGAGGATAGGCTATTACTTGAACCAGGGCAAGCCACCTACAAATGAATCCAAGGGCCTGAGGAGAAAGGAGACAAGGGCCTTAGGACCCCTCGTGGGCTGCAGAGTAAATACCATCCTCACCCAGTGGGAGACGCTGTGGGCCGCAGAGCCGCTTGGGAGGAGCTTTGAGGATTCACGACCTTAGTGCTTTATTTCCGCGCTGGGAGCCCAGGAATAAGTGCGCTCAACATCTGACAGGGGAGGCAGGAGGCAGGGCCGTAAAGTCAGGCCAGGGGAGGGTGGGGAGGTGGGGGAAGATAAAGGCGGGATTAATGAATTGGAAACGAGAAGAACAGCAGCACCCATCAGTAAATCCCAGAGCCAGTTCTGCGGGACAGATAAACACATAAAACAAACAGCTCCCTGGCCAGCCTCATCTGAGGGCCCTGGAGCAATGAGGGGGAGGGCGGGGGCGGCAAGTTAATGCCTTCAAGATCCTTGGGGAGATGGACAGTTTCCCAAGGCCATATAAATTCACAAGATTATGAGGAAGAGGGCTGAGAACTGCAAAACAAGGACAGATGCGTTCCCAGGGCCCCCCTGGGCCCAGCAGCTGCCCCAAGGAAAAGATTGACCCTCTTGGAAACCCACCGGGGCAGTTCTCCTCTCCCCCAGGGGTCACCATGAACAGTGGCCCGCTGGCGGTGGGGTCTGGAGACTGGGTTTCTGTCCAGCACTGGGGTGGGTGAGGGGACTCTGCCATTCAGATGGCGGATGTCTAGGTAGAGGGGCTCTGGGCCTGCGTGCCCCTGAGAGGGCAGACCTGGCTGAGCCCCGGCAAGCCTGCCTGAGGGGAGGGCCCAGGGAGAGACTTGGGTGGGGAGGGGGGCCATGGTGGGATGTGGGGCAGCTGCCTGCAGGATGGTGGGCTGCCTCCAGGGGACCGGGGCCTTCTCCTTGCTGTGGGCTCTGCCCAGCTGTGCCTCCGACCTGGGGTGTGGTAGGAGTAGCCTGAGATACCTAGTGCCGTCAGCACTAGCCCAGGGACAGTCAGCAAGGTGTTCTTGATCTAGGGACAGCAGGGACGTTGGTAGCTGAGTGTAGAATTCTCATCTTCCAGGCAGGAGACCCGGGTTCGATTTCATCCAGTAACCCTCATGCCCAGCCACAGCTTTACCATCAGTGGAGGCTGTGTTGCTGTGATACTGTGTTAGGCTGGGCTCTTTAGGGGAGTACAACTAGTGATATATCTACATCT